GTCATTATCAACAATAATTAGAAATGCAAGGGTACAAAGACAAGTGCTCACGTACAACCTTTTCTGAGTTTCTTTTTTTGAAAATACAGAAAAGCATAAAAAAAGTAAAAAGACTGCCGTCAAGGTTCTTTCTTTTAGTATTCGTTGCTCGAGTTTTGCCACCCCGAAATAAAGAAAGCTCTTACGATGATTTGACATTTTATGCATTGATAATGGGCAGCGAGTGCTTGCAGCTAGCTTGTAGTCCAATAAATTGGCCTTTCGTGAAAAGAGCTTTTTCTCTAGTCTATATCTGGCAAATGCAGAAATTGGAAGTGTGTCGTACAATGTCTGAGTAGCTTTATATATATGAACACTTTATCTCGGATGGGTACGTTCTGTTTGGTTGAAAGTTGAGTTTGTTAGTCAATACATCAGTAATGAGTTCGTCTCAACGCACAACCGTACAATTTGTCTGTAAACTTTGACGTTAAATTTGCTTTTCTTTGTCTGCGAAAGTTGATGTTCAAGACGGCTTATTGTTGGGCAATTTTATCATTTTCAGAACTCACGAACTTAATAACAAAACTTTTGACACTGCCTCCGGAAAGCCTGACTTTCCGCAAGCTTGGTTAAAAAGTAGTACTGGAAAGTAGATACTCGTCTCGTGTGCTACGTTTACGTCTGAGCGAAGCGAGGAGAAGACACGCGAGACAAGAATCTCTTTTCCGCACTAGTTAGATAGATAACATATTATTTATAACGTATCATATACAATTTTTTACACACTTTAGATGAAACAATAAGCTAAGTTAAAACGGAAACGTTCTTTTTTCGTGAGATAGTTAGCTGGTAAAGAAATTAACGTACTAACATTTCAATGAAGCTCGTGAGAGCTTTCAAAGTTTTCAAATAATCAACCCTCATTTGAAACAACTGTTCATCGAAAATGATTCTCCGAACGATATACTTTTCAGGTCAAGCTGAAAAACGCTGCGAGTAACAATCGAATATCGAAGAAACAAGACGGACGTTGTGCGCTCTATTTTTGAGTTGAAGAAACAATTCCAGCTTGGAAATCTTGATGGCAAAAGTGGCTCGATGTCTTCGGTAAGCGGTACAAAGTTTACTTCTACCGGAGCAATTCCAGGTGGGCGCGCACGCAAGAAAAATTGCCGGCAAGCGTGAGAAGACAGAGCGGAACTCGCGTGAAAGATGGAAAACCCACAAACCTTGGCGTTTCCGCCGACGGTGAAATTCGATGCGCTTCGTACAGCACGAGAGCTGGGAGAAAAAAGATCTCGTTGCGACTAATCTGGCGCAATACATAGGTAATCCTTCCGCTGAGGGAGAGGCCGGCTAGTCTTAACTCTTAGCGCGTATAGCCTCTTCGCTCTTTTGAAGCCTGAGGGGGAGGGGGGAGGCACAGCTCGTCGACTTTTCTTCGTCGCAGTCTGGCTTTCTCTAACCCCCAAGGCTATGACTCGCGCGTGCAGTCTGCTGTCTTCTCTCTCTCGCTCTCTCGTCCTCTGTCTCTTTCTCTCCTTCCCGTCCACTCTCGTTTACAGACAACCCTCTCGCTCTCTTCCACTCTTTCATCGCGGTCAATCATCTTCGCGACGCGCAACCACGGTAGAGCTTACCCTCGGGTCTGTGTGGTCGTGGTAATGCTGGTGTCGAGGGAGCTCATCTGTACATTGCTGCTGGCCTCTTGCCCCCCCCCCCTCTCGCGCCTTCTATCCGTCTGTCTCTCTCCCTCTCTCTTTCAGTGACCCTAGTGTTTTTTTTGCACGCGCATGTATGTGTGAAAAGATCATGCTTTTTTCTACATGCAGATGTATTTCTATAGATTAATTTTCAAGTGGACAGCGAAACTGTACTTTGCTATTTGCTTCTTGCCGGGTGTATTTCTTAAAATTTTCTTTATTATCGCTGCGGTTATCGATTTAATAAAAAATATGGACTTTCACCATTAAATTGATATGTCGAATTCCATCGAAAAGATGAAAATGTATGAAACCGGTAATGAAATTGGATTACAATTTATATAAGTTTCTTCTAAACTCTAATGGTTATGTGAAATGCCGTTCCATAAAATATCGGTTGGCGGGAAAAAATGAATTTGACCGATGGAAGAAAAACAGCGTGACTCGTACAATGACCGAGATATATTGACAAAGTCGATAGCAAGTATACATTGGCGTCGCCTCGGATGTGAAACAAGTGCCATAGGCTTGCTAATATCTCGGCTGGGGTATGCATTATATTTGTTTGCGCAGAGCGACGCCGACATTAGAATCTTATCGATCGAGCAGCAATCGCGGAGGTGGTATTTTTTAGGCGACTGGTCGGAAAACAAATTTAATATAAATTTGGTGAATACCTGAATAAGAATTTGCGGCCGATAATGCCAATCACTCGATAGCGGACAGAGGCGCGGTGATTCCCTATTTTCTTCGTAAAACTATTTTTGGGTGCGAGTCAAAGGGCAAAGGGAAAATCGCGAAAGGGCTCAAAGACATACTACTGGACGACAGTTATGCGCTTGGGAATGCAACGGCCTTGCAGCTAGAAAATTCCAGCAAATATTTGTAGGCGCCAAAATTGAGCAGTTAATTAATGTCCAAACTCGCATAATTACAAGTGGTCCGGTATATGCGTATACCGATAAAAAGTTTTAGTTGAAATGCGACTCGTATATATGTCCGATAACAAATTCAACATGAAAGCAGGTATATTAATTATAACGCTGTTGCAGTCGACGCGATCGCGCGGTTGAAAATGGTTATGTAGAATCAAAAGCTCGGTGCTGACATTATGTGTGACGTGTACACCGAGGAACCCCTTATTCAAAAGCGGCGTCGGCGCTGCAACTGAAAACCGCTAACGGCCCTTCGTATTATGCATGGGTGCTCGCTGCACGTCCGCAGACCTGTTCTCCCTTATTATTAGCTGGAATGAAACAGCGCGTCTGCATTTTTTGTTAAGGAAAGTGAGGTTTCGCTTGAGAAATTTTCCATTCTAAGCAGGCTTGCTTGATTTCATCAGGCTTCATATACACGCACTCGGCAATTCCGCGAAAATTATTTTCTCGATGTTGAAACTAATTTGGTTGAGGTTCGTTCGGGATAAAATATACCAGCGAGGGCTGCGGAAACGCAGTCTCCTTAACGCTTGAGTAGTTTCAAGCTACGTTATTAACCTGAAAAATATAAGCTCTCCTTGTGTTTTTTTTTCGTATTCACAGCACTTGCGTCATTAAAATAATGACTGGCACTTTTAATTTGTGAAAAATATAATTATTCTCCAAAAAATTATGATTGCGATATTGTTAGTGACGATCGAGTCTATTTGCAGCTAAATATAGAGAAAAATTCTGTTTCCGCGGGAGTTAGATGTAAAAATAATTCTTGAAAATCACGTACGATAACTTGTTAGATTTCTTATCGTCCAACAGAGTGAAAGCCATAAATTTCACGATTTAGAAGTCAAGTGAAAACGATTTATCGCACTTAAAAGGGACAGGGAAAAGTGTTTCTTCGCGGAAATGGAGTAACTCGCTAGCTCGTACACGGAGCCGACGGAAAAAAACAAAAAAGAAAAAAGGCCGCAGCACGGGGCATTTTACGAGGGGGAAGGTAAGAAAACGAGACGACGCTGAAGGGCGCGCCCACGTTATTTTTTTATTTCGGGCGCAGCGCGTGCGCGAGCGATAAAAGAAGAAAAAGAGACAATTTCGGAATTCAAATAAAGTAAAGAAAATAAAGTAAGGGGAGGAAAAAAGAAGAAGAAAATAGGTGCACGAAGCAAAGACAGAAATTTCAATGTTGCGAGGCAATAAAGTTAACGAGCACTCAAGAGTGAGAGAACTTTCGTTCGAATTGAGCCCAAAGGCTCGCGAGTTGCAGTTGTTAGATCGCGGGGCAGCAGCACGCGACAGTTGGAAAAGCGACAAGGCGCGCGCGCGCCCACCCCGAGTGAGCAGGAAGCTATTCAGAGGCATGGGAAAAATCGATAATTTAGTCGTGTGTATACAGCAAGCACGCGACGTCGACAACCTGGATGGTCAGATTTTCTTTTTTTTTATTACTATTGCACAACGTTTGGCTGCGACAGCACTATAGCACAAACTTGTTGATGGCCAAAAGGAAACGAGCGAAATATTTTACGATGCCGTTCTTTTATGTGAGGCACAAGCGCGTTCGCCGATTGTTTTATCTCCTTTTTTCTTCATCCCCATGCCTGTGGATAAATAATTTTCACGGTAGCATTTTGTTGTGTGTGAACAGCACAGCAGCTGCACCAGCAGCCAGACAGCCAGGCTGCTTCACGTTGCGTGCCTTATCTACGTCGCTCCCATTTTTACCTCTCGCTATGTGGTGTATAGCTATACACATCGCAGTTTGTCTTTTTTTTGCTTGCAAACTGCAACGGTAATACAGAATTCTGTTTTACGAAAACACTGTGATTTATAGGATTCCGTGAGATTATAATTTTTTCAAACTTTTCTCAGAGATTATCATCAGGACGTTGGCAATTATGTCATTCTTTATTTACTACAGTGATATTTTATTTTATGCGCAAAATTTATCTTTGTCCCTTGATGCACTTTTTAGTTTATAATTATGTCTTCTATTCTATTATTTCAATTTGATTGTAGCTTTACATTCATACAAAAAGTATGCATGCAAATGAAAACATAAAAGAGAAAGTTAATTTTATGAAGTTTGAAGCGCATTTAAATCCTATTGAGTAAACAAAGTTTCAACTGCCTGTAACTATTTAACGGCTTTGGAAAGAATAAAAACTTTTTAGCTGTCGCTCTTGAATAATGTGATAACGTTGTATCTGATAGAAACCGCAAAGAGTTTAAAATAAAGTGAAATGTAAATTAAATTCAGAAAATTATGTATTCGAAATTGATTGCGTTTTTAATAATTTTTAATAGATTTCAAAAAATGTATCCTTTTTCCAAAAAATATTAAAATATTTAAGCCTCTAAATTTCTTTATTACACCTACCTTCCAGCAATTCCATTAGGTTGAATTTCTTGCAGAAAAATTCCTAATTCGCCGCGGTCTTTACTACGTAAACCAACAACACTAAAGCCAAGACTTGTTCCTTCTGATTTGAAAAGCTAAAAATGTAAATAAACATTACAAAAATTATCTGAAGAATGTATTTTTTACATTTTAAATTGTTTTTTACTTATTTTAAAAGAATTATCAAGCTGTAAAAATTACCTGAACAGTAAAAATTTGACGTCCTCGAGCTGCTGTGTCAATAACTTTCTGGAACTCCTTTGCATAAGTGGTATTCATTATTGGGGGAATTCCCATTACTTCTGAATTTAAACTAGGACTTGTTACCTAAAATTTAAAAAAATATAATCATTAATGAGGAAATCATTTTACCTATTGAAATTTTTTGAACATAACATTACAATAAATGCATATATTGTCTTTTATTGAGTATTTAAAACTATCTATAAACTTTACCTGTGCACTAGTATCCTCATTACTACTATGCAACAATGGAGCTACTGGAACTCTTTGATCATCGATTTCACTGGTATCATGATACAAATTCTGATACATAGCCTGCCCAATAGGTTGGACAGGTGTATTAGGAACTATTAGTTCAAGCTGACCACCAAGGTGAATGTCAAAATCTCCAGGCAAAATGGAAGGATGCTGAGTAAGCTGCGTATTCAGTTCCGCAAGTGAATCTTGCATTGTAACAATACTACGGAACACTGGATCCTCCAATAATGAGATCAATGATTGGAGATCTTGACTTGTGTGAAGCTGTAACTTTGGATCATCACAGTCTTCTACTCGTTTATGCACATGCTCCAATAAATGGAGAGCTGTTGAAATATCTAAAAATAAATCAAATAAAACTTACTTATGCTGTTTTAAACTTTATCACTGTATAGCATTCAAATTAAAAAATATATTTGCATTGTCTTGAAATGAACAATAAAAATTAACATAAAATATACATTATAATTTTTATGACTGATGATAAATACAGAAACATTTCTTACTAAGCATGTTACATAAAAATGTTTTAATTAATAATTCAATCTTACCTGTATTCAACGTCATTTTGCTTATTTTATTTTTCCTTAAAGAGATCCCTTATACAATGTCATCCACATGCAATCCTGAAACAAATTATAAGGCAACTTTAGTAGAAGTAGTTCAGTGGGATAAATCCAAATTGTCTAAAGCTTGATCAATACAGTCTCCATGTGAGGAGATATAGGAAAAGAAGCATGTACTCAACTTGCTTTCACAACAAAATGCATACAGGTTAAGCAACAATGTAACAAATAAAAGGAAAGGTTTATTCCATGTGCAATATATTTGGTAATATATGGACTCACTCATAATGTTCAAAGCGCTTCCTGATTACTATTTACGAGCTGGCGGGCGCTTGTTTACGAGTAAGTAATGAGTCTCGAGAATAGAGAATGTATCGAGAAAATCAATAAACAATTACTCGTAATCAATTGGGCAGCCCACATTCGACTCGCTCTTCCGTCTCCCTCTTTGCACAGTTCCAACGTTATCCGTCTATCCCTCGTGTCTCTTTCTCACACCTTCTTGTCGTCGTATCCTCGGTAGTATTATTCCTCTGTATTCACGATTCAAATAGTATTACAATTGTCAAAATATAATACACACGCGCGATATGTATCAATCAGCGAGGTCGGCTGTTGGTACCTCCCAGTTGCGCGGGCGAACATTGACAATTCCTCATCCTTCTTACTCGCACTTGCTTCTGCTATCTGCGCGCTTTATCTTTCTCTCTCTCTCTCTCTCTCTCTCTCTCTCTGTCTCTCTCTTTCTCTCTCTCTCTCTCTTTCTTTCTCTCTCTCTTTTTAGTCAGGTGTTATGATGGCGCTGAGGGCGTTGCAGTCGCGGTCAGAGTGACGTCAGATGTGCATGCATTTGTACCGTAGGAACTTCGATTTTACTGGTTCGCAAGACTGAATGAGTCAACGAATCATGAACTGCCGTCGAAGAGAAGAGAATACACATACAATGACTGAATAGCTGAAACTCCGGAAAGAGACTATAGAGGTCGACAGTATGCAGTAAATATTGGAAAAGTATGTATTATACAGAAAGTTAAAGATAAAGCTAAAATGAAAATATCAGCATTTTCATTTTTCGACAAGTAAGGGAATCCTTTTCATGAAAATTTGTATAACTTCTAATGCATTATTAAATTATATATTTTAATCTAATAAAGATTAAAAAATCGATGTATGAGTTTCTGCAGACTAAGATGAAGAATTAAACAGTTGAAAAATAAATAATTATTACAAAACCTCAGAATCCATAAATAAGTATAAATTTGGTACATTTTTTACTTGATAATTTTTTTAAGTAAAAAATCAACATACCGGTTTTACAAGGATTTGAAATTCTCGATCAAAGATAAATTCGAAATATATGTTGTATACCTATTTTAAATATTTTCTAAACATAAATGAATATCGGAAAAGTAGCATTTATCAAAGAATTAATACCGGTTAATAGCATATATTCAAAATTAATAGTATATATTAGAAACATTAATGCCTATATTTTATTATTTATAAGTTTGTATATTTCTATATTATGCAAAGAGTTTAACAAAAAGTGCACATCGAATAATTTTGAAGGGTCTAATATTTTACTATTGAAATGAAATAATTGAACTTTAAACATTGAATTTCTTGTGGCACAGATTACAACAAACATAAAAATAATATTGTATACAATAGATAGACTTGATTCCATTGTTTACACAATTTGGTCAATATCATACAAACTTTATTCAGATTTGTAATTATTTTTGTTAATTGGCTACAAAAATATGATGCCTTATAATTTTATAAAAAGTAGAAAGATTAAATTTTGTCGAAAGTAAACAGTCATGTTTTGATGTTACAGTAACTTTACTGATAAAACTTTCGTTGCTTATGATATTTTAAAGTTATAATTCTTCGAAATGCCATTGTTAAAAATGAATTGACAGAGTAAAGGGAAGTGTATGCTGTATGTACTATTTATGTCCATATTTCATTTTTTTGGCAGTTTATTCTCATTGTTATATCACGTTGTCAAAATATTTAAGTCATGTGAATCAACAATCTAACGGTTTATCCCTCTATCGTTTCGCCCTTCAACTAATCGAGATAATTTATTGTTCTCAATGAGCTTCTGAGCAAACTGAAAGAGAAGTTCCTTCTTTTACAATAAACCATGCATGCAAACTAATCATCAGAAGCATTGAACATGATCCAAAATCAATCAGCACATTTTAACGTCCTGCCTGCTAACGCTTCGTCACCCAGACTGAATAGGCGGTAGGTACACCGTAAACAACGTCCTTCCTACTTTCGTCACCTATCCTTTATTATTCCTCATTCATCATTGGCTTATAACGGCATGTCAAAAAAAGATACCCTACGTCAAAATTTCCACACCTATGCTCAGTCAACATGATTATTTTAAGTGTCTTCCTCGTCTCGTGTAAAACATCCAATATGTACCACACGCGAGTTTTAGCGAACAAAGTTTCTAATCCGTGGTTCCGCAGTGACGCGCACACATACTCGTGTTAAAAAAAGGGGAAGGGAGCTCTCTTTTTCTCTCTCTTTCTCCTGTCGAGTATATGTCTCATCATCATTTTCCCGGATGTAAGCGCGCGGAAACAGCGAGTGTAGCTCACAATGCGAGAGTCGGCGCTTCCGGCTACCGCAAGGCCAGTGTATACGATGATCGTACCCCACCTGTGCTCTAGCGCCGCCGATCAGCCACTGGCTATTTGTACACAAATGTAAGAGGAAAACATACACAGGCATCAGTTGTACCCCACGTACTCTGCTCCCCTCCTCTCTTGCAAGCTCTTTGCAATAAGCTACGCCTACCAAAGAGTCAGACCTGCTATTTGGTTGTCGCGCGAGCAATGCCATTTTGGACTTCAGTCTGATTACGGGTACCAGTGGTGACGCTTCGGTTACCCTCTTTCACACCACGTGCATTCTTTGCGCGCTCTATCGCGCGTGCCAGTACTGTATACTATATTATCACGTTAGCTTTCAACTCCTATTCAATACGTGCACATATGCCAGTTCTTGTTCGAGGTGGAAGAATTTTTGTTTTTTGCTTTTTCATCCAATGTATACACGCTGTATTGAGACACTTTATCATTCATGAGAGGCGTTGATCCTATTCATGGGCCGGTCCATCGAGCTTTTGCCGTCATCTGCGACTGGGCAGGAGGTCGTTCCATAAGTAAGATACTAAATCTTTTAATTCACAGATACCCTGCAGCTTGTTCGATAACTTTATGTGTAACATAATGAACAGTGAAAGAGGGTTGTAGAAAATAGGCGCTGATAAGTAGTTCACTTCGGCTAATTGAATAACATTCAATTGAAATTCAAATCAAACACTATTGTCATTTTCGATGGCCTCGATTGATTTCAAATTTGAAGTTCGAATTCGTATAATTAGCAGGGAAACGAATTGTTGTGGGAACCGATTATCGTCTTTTCAACGGCTGCGGCTAGTGTTAAATAGTGAATGCTTTGCATTTCATTTTCGTTCTTTTCAAGTACGGATCATTACATAGACAAGTTACAGCCCATTGAGTTTTGATTGTGAGTCACTGCTGTCTTTCTCTTCATACGGGCTTTGTTTATTTATGTTATTTGTCTTATTGTTCAAATGTGTATAGACAATGGTCAATTCTTTTATCTTTTTTCAATTAAACTTTCTTCTGTTACAAATACACTTCAAACGGCTTTTTCTAGAAAAAAACTTGTTATTCTGTTATAAGAAAAAAGGATGTCTTCATCGCATATCGATATTTTATTCGTGAAGTTGGAATTTCAAACTCGATAGCATTTTCCAACTGAAGAAAAAATTTGTCGTAATTCTTTACGTAGAATTTTTGTAAAGTATGGATTCATATGCATACTAGATGAGCTATAAATTCTATTATTTTCTTTCAATTTTGTCTGCAATCTAATTAAAAAAATCATTCAGTGCAGAAAAACAATCGCCCATAATTTTTAATCTATGCATTGCAAAATTAATTTCTATTAAAGCAAAAAGAAGAAAAGGAAAATTTTGTAAAGAAAAAAAATTCCACCGAATGCGCATTGAAAAGCCAAGCATCTAGCAAATCCATACAAAGGCGCATAAAACTCCTCTCGCGAAAAAGGCGCAAATCGATGGGTAAACAATAGAGCTGATAGCGCAATCTCGTAGTGGCGCGCGCGTAACGTGCACTTAGCTCGTCTCTTTGTGTATTAAAAAAAGAGCGAGGCACGCGAGTGTCCATCGTGTTCGAGAGTGAAGCAAAACGAATCTTTCGCAAGTACGTTATCGTCCAATCGCTGCGCGTATACATATACACAGCATATCTCCAAAATCACATCGGTATGAAATCCTTGCTCCCGATGACGTGGTTGGCCCCAATATATGTAATATAAGCATGGTACGAAGGACTTTTTCATCATCATCAGGATCCATTGTACTACGTGCTCCCCACCACTTCGTTAGCACTATGCTATCGAAAGCTCGGTGAGGAGATTCCAAACGGGCGCTCACCCTGAACCGCACTCACACACACACACACACACACACACACACACACACACACATATATATACTTACTCACTCCCTCGATACGCGCGAGCCATCGATGGACACACGCGCCCATAAGCCCAACAGAGCGTAGTTCCAACTTCCCAGCCAGCGCATTATTAGGGATCTATTATCTTCACAGTTATCGCGAACATTGCGCGCATACGCTCTCTCTCTCACTCGGGGACAGTTTCATAGGTACGACGTATGAAAGGATAGTGTATATATTCAATGCGAAAGCGAGTACGAGGGAAATGAGAAAAAGGAAGTCCATAGGCATAAACTCGCTCTACGTGCTTGCTCCCGTGAGAGTTGTCGCGCTCTATTTTAACTGCTGCTGTTATTATATACGTATATACTTTTGCCTTCTGCAGTTTATAGAACCGTACAATTTATTACAAAATAGAATTCCATGAATATCGCGCGATACTTTGATAAGCCCGTATTTCACGGTTATTTTATTACGCAAATTATTCAAGGAGTAAGACATTTTCGAAAATTATTCACCCTTTCTCATTTAAATTACATTACAGATACAATGAATAAATTACAAGTGTATTTTTCTGAATAAATTACATGAATCAAGTTCATTATTAATCGCCAAGATTTTTGTAATATATCCAGAATTAAAATGAAAAGATAGTGAACATTCCATTTCTATTAAACTGCGTTTATTAGGGTTGGGGTATTCTAACTGTAAAGTGCATACACATAGTTTGATGTGGAAAATAATGAGATTTTTACAATTAATGTTGAGGGTGAGTTTACGGTATGAGTGAAGTTGATTGAACAAGGGTATCAATAAGCTGCAGGAACCAGTGACTTTACTCCCAATATATGCACGCTGAATTATATTCGCATTATAAATTTTATCACTTTATTAATTTGTATAGAGATGAAATATCCGAAACAAATTGAAATTATGAAAAATAAACAATTTTGCTATCACTTTATAAAGAAAATAATTTTGTTTGGACAGTTTCCCTTTCAGGTTTAGTAAGTTAGTTAGTTATAATTATTTTAACAATCGCTTGCTTCATAAAATAGCATTCTATAATAAATGTCAAAAAAAAACAATATTGTTCTTCATTCATAACTGTTGAAAAAATTCGTCCACGAAATATTGCAGTTAATACAATTGTTCCTCATTATCAGTTACTTAACAAAGTGTTATTTTATTATGAGCTTTTTTCGCGCTATAATAACTATCATAAACATCTTACAAAATAGAGGATAAAATTCAAAAACTCTAATATAAGAGTAACAATTTAAATTTGAAGAAAGCGAGGAAAGCATACAGGTATGTCGATTGAACGAAAATTCAGCATGTGAAAAAGAGAAATTTCGAGTCATCGTAGAACTCAGTTCTCCATTATGAAAGTGCGGAAGCATCGCACCATGTTTTTCCTTCCTTTTTTATATTAATCCATGACATCAGATGGGGACATCGAATGGCTGTCACGCGTTTTGAGCTTGCCGGCGCGTACAAACTCCCTTCAATTCATGCGCAGTCCGCTTTTGAAATCGGTTCGGTGAACGTTGTTACAAGTAAACCCTGAGTGCGCGCACTTTCAACGCTCATCTTTTTCACCACTCGTATTAAGAATTATCATTTCTAGTTTAATTATCTCGTTTTCGAGTGAAGTGGTTTCTTTTTTATTCTGTGAATGTTTTGGCATCGAAATTGAAAATGCGACGAATAAACACTTCGCTCTTACAAACATTCTTTACGCCATGGTAAGAATCCACAAGAGAGTGTATTTCATGGCTATTTGAAAAATAAGATATCTAAGTTTAATTGTCTGTTTAACTTGTAATTACCCACGTGTTATCTTTGAAACAACAACAGGCAAGGTACTTACATGCTAAGTGACGCGAATAATTATGGGTTAAGAGATGATCCTTTGTGACGTATGAAGTTCTCACTGTCTTCTTAAGTGAAAATTAAGATTTTAACGTCTTCATACAAAAATGAATATACTCATAAGTATAATAGATACTATTAAAATAAAAAAATCCCAACATAATAATATTGGAATGAAAAAGACAGTTATTAATTCTGTTTGCGCTTTTTGCTACAGTCCCTTTGCGAGTGACATGACTACTTGATAATACCTGTTATCGGAATTCAAAATGAGAAGGGATCGTAACATGTTCAGCATGGTTCAAGCTATTACTGTTCTTACGGTGTTGAAGATGCTCGTCAATGGTAAGATTTATCGAAAATCTTGTAAAAAATAAACATTTTTCTAATTATTTCTGTATTAAGTGTATCGATATCAATTTGATCTATAGCTCAAATTACTTGCAATAATGGAGCAGGTAGATTCGTCTACGAAAGATTACCAGACCAACAACTGCAGGGCTTTGACGATGAAGTAGTGAGTTCTCTTTGTAATTAAGACCGATACAACTATTTTAATTGTTCTAAAATTAAACTTTATAAATTTTTACAAAGATAAGGGACTCATTGCCGCCGTTCCGCGTGCTCGAGAAATGTCAAGATCTTTGTCTCCGCGATCGCACGGCTACCAACAATCTCGTGCGAACGTGCTCAAGTTTTGATTTCCAACCGGGCAGCCGAATAGCATCTTACAGCGGCGCTGCCGAATACGAAGAGAGCACCTGTTATCTAAGCGCTGAGCAAGCGCAACCCGAAGGCATCGGCAATCTCATGATGGTACCTAACAGCGTACACTTTGCCGAAGTGTGCTTGACTTGTGAGTACAACGTGTCATACGCGTAATTATGTCTGACCGCACTTGCACGTTACTACTCAGCGTATCTTTTAAGTTCCACAACATTGAACGTCTACGTGAATTATTCTAAAATTATTCCCCTTGCTTCCTGAACTCAAGTGTAAATTGCATGTGTGTGGTTACCGCTGCCCGCTTGAATAATATGACTCACTCAAGCCGCGGGCATACTAAATTAGCAGTCAAGTGTGTATACCTTTTCCTCATTTTAATTTATCTCGACCGCCACATTTCGGAATAAAATATAGTTTTGTAATTGGTATCTGGATAATCCATTGTCTCGTCGACTGAGTAGATACAACCTGCTTTAAAGAAATGCCGTAATGATCTGTTGATTTACGCTTCAACACCGCGACCTTCGCACTGCTCGAGCAAGAGATCCTTCTGTTTCACAAGCCCATTCGAAGAAACATATAAAACCTGAATTCAAATGATTTTACGGGTGCTGCGGTGAGGTAAGCCCTGGGCATAATCGACGATCGCGTACTGCACGTCTACCTCGCATACCTATTCCTTCGCTCACGTATGTACATATGCTTCGAATTTTTAATTTAGCGAGATCATGCTGCTCGTTTGAATAACAATGCGCGAACAAAGGCATTAACAATGATTCCACGGAGGGTGTTCATCGACGCGAGCGGAGTGTGACAGCCACGGTAACAGGTAAAAGGCACACGCGATTTCGTCATGCCTCGGTGCTCCTCTTCTACACTCTTCTCTACGACTGAAGTGAACTTTATATGTAGCACATACCCAATGGACGCGCATTTTTTTGCCGATTATAATGAAGCGGCAATTAACGCCGACAATTAGCCAAACAAAGGGATGATTTTTTAATTTGGTCCTTCGACGATTTATTCTTGTTTGGCAGCCAGCCGCATCGAGTTAGAATGCCCCAATCGGCGCTACGTTTTCGAGAGGCATTCGAGGAAAAAACTGAAGTTGCCTGCTGCCAATGTCAAGGAAATTACTGCAGCTAATCGGACGGACTGCGAAGAAAAGTGAGAAATATTTTAAATCTTTTAATATTATGTGCATTTTCAACATATGACGTTTTCGTAGGATTAATTCAAATATTGTTATCGTGATTTCTCTTGAATTAAAATCTATTTCATTCTGATACTTTGGAGATAACTCTTTTTTTTTAAGAAAACAACTGATCTATAATAGCAATAATATTTTTACAGGTGTTTGAACGAGCATCAATTCATTTGTCGATCAGCAACTTACGACTCGACTCTAAGGAGTTGTACTATGAGTCGTTTTACACGAAGAACACACCCGGAACTATTAGAAGACAATGCTAATTCTGAATATTTAGAAAACACATGTCTTAATGGTAATGAGAGCATTTAATATATATACATATCATTATCTAAGATATTTATAATATCAAAGAATATAACTAAACGCTTTCGTAATTTTGCCAGCGGAAAATCGTTGTGATGGCCTGGCAGTATTCATTAAAGAAGAAAATAAACGTATGCGCGGCCCGTTCGAAGTGGACATTTATTTGAATCTAACTCTCGAAGAATGTCAAGCATTTTGCTTGAGAGCGGAAAAGTATTTCTGCCGGAGTGTCGAGTATGATGAACAAATTCGACAGTGCGTCATTTTAGAAGAAGATTCTGTTTCTCAACGAGACGATTTTGCTACAAACACGTCTCCAGGTCATCACTTTTACGACTTGGTGTGTTTAGATAACCGTAAGTTTGACATATTTTCCCTTCGTTCTGTAATTTTTTCTCGCACTTTAACACTACTTCGAAATTTAATTTATATATTTTTATGCAATTCCACATCTATCCTAACTACAAAACATGCTAGCCTTTAAATTTCACGTTAACTTACTCTACACAATGTGTAAAAATTCACGTAGATTTATCTCAGTGTACTTCCGAAAAGCCTGCACAGCATGGAACAGAGCGCACCAATTTCGAAACCAAAAGCAATGCGAGCATATCCGTCAACGTAATTTGACGTTCGTCGGATCACTCCACACTGTATAAAATGCATGCGTGTGTTTCAATAAAGAACAAGACCGTAATAAGCCGGCTCAATTAGCGAAAAAGAATGAATATAAAATGTACATAGCCGAGCCGTGCGTAACAATGCTCGCTTATGAAACCTAGAACCATCCATAGCGCGAGGATCCCAGTTCCCGGATAGCAGCTCGTCGCACATGTACGGTGAAACCCGTCGGCCGGATACTGCATTCCAGCGTTATCGAAATATGAGGCTTACCGGCGAATTCCCATCGGAGATCAATGGTCGTAGTCTCAGCGAGTGCCTCGATGAGTGTTTGCGACAGACGAGCTTTCAGTGCAGAAGCGCGTTGTATTCGGAACGCTTGAGAACTTGCAGGCTGAGCAAGTCTAATCAGAAGGATGGGCATCGATTGATTTACGATGCTGATAATGACTACTATGAAAATCTTATGCGTGAGCTGAATTTGGTTATGGTAATACTCATGATATCAGATTTTCCTATGATACAACTTGTTTTTATTTTTGTTTCTACAGATCATTCGTGGGAGGGCGACAGAGGAAGTAACAATTATAGGCCAGACCCACTTGGTCAAGACACTAGTGGAAGGCCAGGCATCCTCGGAAGACCAGGTAGATAAAATTAAATTACGTAAGAAATTAAAAAATGATAACAATTTTACAAAAGCAATAATTTTTTCAACAGGCTATACAGACGACTATCCAGGCGGTAACAAAGATCGTTTTCCCGATCGTTTCCCTGAATCTTATCCCAACAACCGTATACCACCACATTATTTACCTGGCAACGATTATCCACCACCTCGCGGGCGTCCATATTATCCACCACCACGTCGACCCAGTTATCGTCCGAACTACGACGACCCATATCCAGGCAATCGCATTCCAATGGATCAATATCCTGTATTCGATCGTGTACCTCCTGGAGAATCATATCCTGTTGGTGATCGTTTTCCAACCAACGACGAACCATATCCTATAAGACCAACAGGAGGTGGTCGTTTTCCTAATCGACCGATGCGACCATACGGTAGTCGTTTCCCGGGAGTTGTCCAGAAATATCCACCACCATCGCGATTTCCTCCTGGATCGACCAACTATCCACCGGTTGATGATAGATATCGACCACCGATACCAGAAGAACCATCTGATAGATTTCCTAGTGGAGGTTTGGATGGAAATAGAATCCCGGAAAGATTCCCAATCCCAGATAAATATCCCGATAGGGATGGTTATCCGTACGGCGATGGGTAACATATTTTTTATATTCAAATTTTTATAGCAAATTGCAATATAAGAGTAGAAGAACTATAATAATAACAAACACTTTATCATTGCACTGCAACAAAAATATAATTTTTTTAGCCGATACCCAATCTACCCTGGTAAAGAGTGGTCTGAACGTCCAGTCCATCCTGGAGGCGGTCAATACGGACCTAACCGTCCTGGGGGTGGTTACGGTGTTGGTGGTATACCACCAGGCAATTCATTAGGATCAGGTGGCTACGAAGAAGGTGGAATAGTCGGTGGTGGTTACATCGGCGAAGGTGGTGTCTACCATCAACGACCATATGGAAATGGTGGTGGTCCAATGATCGGTCGGCCACCCTTACTGTCGCGTTGCGATGAACAGGAGAATTTTCGACAAGTGAGCCAAGGTACAAGAGTGCGCAAACCCTTTGTGCGTCGTTATACCGCAGCGTCAACCTTGAGTCAATGCGAGCGCGAATGTAGCGATGCCAGGGACTTTGTCTGCCGATCGTTCAACTTCCGACCACCACCTTACAATACGCCTTACGGATCGGAACGGGATAATTGCGAGTTGAGCGACAGAGACTCCAGGGACATGGATATGGGTAATCCGATTTATTATGAGACTAGCTCGGAGTACGACTTTTACGAGAGAGGTAATGGGCGCCAAGGTGCAGATGAGTGTCTCGATGGTAAGTCGAAGGCTCTTTTTATATTGTCTTTTATTATCTGACTGCTACGTTGTTCGTTTTATTGAGCATGTATATTTTTTTTTAGTAAGCCAAACGTGTAATGAAGATGGAATGGAGTTTACCTTGCGCACACCGGAAGGTTTTATTGGTAGAATTTACACTTATGGCTACTATGACCGATGCTTTTATCGTGGGAACGGACAAACTATAAATGTGCTGAGAATTAGCGGAGCTCAAGGATACCCCGATTGTGGAACTCAAAGAGTATAATTACAAATTAATTATAGTTTTTTTTTCGCTTAACTTTTCAATGTCACGTAAATAGCCGTTAATAAAAAATAAAAATTTTAGTACGGCGATACCATGACTAACATCGTAGTGGTTCAATTCTCTGATTACGTACAAACTGGAAGAGACAAACGTTTCAACTTGACGTGTCTATTCAGAGGTCCTGACGAGGCAGTCGTTACTTCCGGATATATTGGCGCAGGGTAAATATTAATAATAGTTTGTCCGCTTTTTTAAATAACGTTACGTCTTTATTCATCGAAAATAATTTTTCAGTAGATCGGGTTCGCCTATACCTATCGAGTACTTGCCAGCCGAGAATACTTTGAGCTCGAAAGTTAGGCTCCTTATTCTCTATCAAGGACGACCGACTACCACGATTGCTGTTGGCGATCCATTGACTTTCAGACTTGAAGCTCAAGATGGTTATAATTACGCCACTGATATATTTGCGACAAACGTCGTTGCGAGAGATCCTTATTCTGGACGAAGTGTTCAATTAATAGATAGATACGGGTATGTAAATTTATTTTCATATAATTTTCCTTGATACAGTAATTGTTTAATAAATTCCCGTTGCAGATGTCCTGTTGATAATTACGTGTTCCCCGGCTTGGATCGACTTCGAGATGGGGACAGTTTAGAGGCTCGCTTCAATGCGTTTAAAATTCCTGAGTCGAACTTCTTGGTGTTCGAAGCGACTGTGAGGACATGTAGAGATGGATGTCAACCTGCTTTCTGTTCGTCGGGTACCGGCAGAAGCGAACCATCGTATGGACGAAAAAAGAGATCGATTAGTAATGATACTGAAGTCGACATAGATGCTTTGAATTCAACGAGTGTGAATGCTACTGAAAGTATTATATTATCCGAAAGTAGTGTCAGTGAAACGGATGCCGAAGTAAAAGACGCTACTGAAGGTGAAGAAGAATTTGTCAGAGAAATGATAGAGGTAAGCGCGGAAATGCCATGTAATTGCTTTTGATGAACTAATACAATGTTATAAATTCTAGGTTTTCGATTCAAGATACGACATGAATGAAGAAGACGACGACGAGGTTAATACTATTGCTGAAAAAAGAATCGCACCTGTTGTGGATACTGTCTGCATTACTCCGAACGAGTACTACGGACTTATAACGGCTATTGTTATCCTCGTCGTACTTTTAGCATCTATTGTACTTTTAACAATATTAGTTTACAGGTAAAAACTGCAAATCAATTATAAAATAAATGTTTATCAATGACTACTTGGGCTTTATATAGAATAATAAATATCAATTATTTTTTAGGAAATACGTTTATGCCGTGATTGTTAAAAACCGTAGGGCTGATAGATTATCACATCGAAGTAGAAATTCTACAGAAGATCATTATAGCACAAGAGCGAACAATTTCTCATTTTTACGATCTGGACTTATAAATCCAAGTCGCTCTTCGTAAGTTCTAAAATGCTATGATTGTCAAATATATTACCGATAATAATTAGTGGATTTGACTTTTACTTCTAGACCCATTGCGAGATCTTTGAGTAATATTATTAGCCAGCGAACAGGGTCATCAACGACTTTGGTAGGCATTGCCGGGACGTCGAGCAACTACAGGACGAATTTTGACCCAAGTGAACCGATTTATACCGATCCGACCCTTTTTGAAATTGCGAGGAGTACGATAGTCGACAAGAAGAATTCTCATAACGATAATTTTCACATGATATGAATGATATTTTATCGTGATTATACTTCGGAATGATCAGTGATTAAAAAAATGTTATAATATGATTATAGAAAGAACATCCATACGCGCTTTTTAAAAACTTTAATTTCGTAATTTTATAACTCGCAAATGTTTTAAAATTTACGTTTCGATATTTTTTGCATGACTAGTATAATAAAGTTTTTATATTATATTAACTCTGAAGGTTATTTTTTACTCCATACTCTCATGAATACCTTTTACGATATTAAATTTTCTATGTGCTAATTTTAATACCTAAATATAATTTACTTTTGTTGCATTTAATAATCTGTACATCTATATTGTTACGTCGATAGTAAGTGAATGCTGCATGTCAGAACAATAATATTCGAAACTGCCAACTGCGTTTGTAAATTGTAAACAATCTTCACGTGTACTAAGCATTTTATTTTATATAGTATCGTAGAAACCATTAGCTCTATACAATTTAAGAAATTACAATAAATATTAACTTAGTCTAATTTTATATGTACATCAATTATAGTAACTTCAATAATAAACAAAAAATTTATGTTTCATCTTCTTCTTTCTCCTCAATTACACAGTCGACGCAATCAGCGTAGTCTTCCTTTAATTTTTGTAATTTGTAGGACGCGCAAACCATGCGTAAACGAGCTTCCTCTTGCTTGAACTGGGCTTCCTTGAGTTTCAATTTAGCCTCTTCTTTCAACAAAGCAGCTGTATCCAATCTTAATTGTGCCTCCAAAATAGCAAACTCATTCAGCTGGTTACTGGAATTAATTTGACTTATCTTTGGAACCTTCTGCTTTACCGGTGTTTTTGACGATTTCACTTTCCTTTTTATATTCAAAGCTACTGGAACATTATCTTCTGCCGATCCATCATTCGCTACTTTCTGGTCATTGTTCTGTAGCTCTTCTTCCACGTCAACTTTTGAATCTAAAAAAAAATTAGTATAGTGTTTTATTTAGCTGATGTTACTTATGCTCAAATGTATTTTCATTTTATGAATAATAATATATTGTTGTAATTTGCTTTCGTCACTTTTACCGTTAAATGTATGATCTGTGGGTGGCATTATTCCTTCGAAAGCGAATGGCTCCGATTCCTTTGGCTGAAAGACGACATTTGGTGGAAGTTGTGCGGAATTTGGCAGTTGACCTTGAGCGTCGTCAACGCTTGGTTTTTCATTGACCCTAGAAAACATTTAACGACATCCTCATAAAAAAATAGAACATCAACCGTTTTGAAAATTATATCGCACTTTTTGTCATCACGATTCTTCTTGTTAGCTTTCATATTTTCCCAACATCGCCTGAGCTGCAAAGAGGATCTCGCATTTTCTGGACTCACCAGAGAATTGTATTCTTCAGTTATCTCGGACCACACTGATTTTCGTTTTCCACCGCTAGCAACATTACCTTCGGTAAGTTTCTCCTCTTCGTTGTCACTCAGGTATTTATAAATCAAGTTCACAAGTATTTCTCTCTCTTCAAAACTATAAGTTTTTCGGGTGCCCTTACTTGTAGAGGTTGAGGCCATTTTCTTTGCGCTATCAAGACGGAAACAACCTCTTGTCAAGTTTCAACTATTTTAAGTGCGTGTTTTGCTTCGTGCTTCACGTAGGTTTATCGCCAACGTAAAAAAGTTTGGTCATTAAAAAGCACGTTCGAATATATAATGAAAATCACAACCAATTTAAAAATATAAGGTTCGAGAAAAGTGTTAAAAATATTAATTACTTGTTAATTCTAAATCTCTAGATATCTTTTACATTTTTAAATTATATCAGAAAAACTTATAGTATAAATGTGTAACAATTTTTAAGTATTAATATCTTTAATGAAGATTCAATGTATTGTTAAAAAAGTACTCAATAATCAAGTAGATAACGTATTAATATTACACAATTTAAATCATTTTATGCATGTAAATTTATTTAATCACAAATGTAATAGTCTGCATTTGTTTTGTAACATTTTATTTACAATTTTCAGATGAAATATTTTATAATTCACCTATATTTTGAGCTATATATTTTGTACAATAGAAAACTGTCAATGGAATAATATATTATATAAGTATGTACATTGATTTAAAAAACGTTAATGCTTATCACTTTTTACAAAAATTGGCATTATATCTGCATTGCGAACGCGATTACATTTCTTAAACTTCAAAAATATTTAAAACACATTTTCAAAATTACTAGCAATTCATTGTACTGTAAATTATCAACTGTTTTCATATTAGTAGAAAAGTTTAAGCTTTGATATGAATTCTTTTTCGTCACCAATCATATTGCGGCACTCTATAAGTATCATTATCACTTTTCACTATTGTTACTCCAGCTCCATAATATGGTATTACATAGTGTGAACCATCGGCTGGTCCAACAATTTGTGTAGCTATTAATATCACATCACAGAATTGTCCCAAAAATAGAAAACCTAAAGTGCTTAACTTAAGTAATCCTAATGCTGGATAACCAAGGTAAAATCTATCAGCGCCAAACATACCTAAGAATATTGATAATAGCAGTGACGTTTCAAAAGAATACCCGTTTCTGCAAATAAGTGAAATATTGGTTAATGTTGTATTATAATTTTCAAAACATTCTATACGATATTGCTCCAACAAAGTATAAAGTACTTACGTCCATTTACAAGGAATTTCTTTCTTGAATGTATTGTTTTTGGTTTCACTGCAAATAAGCCCATCAGCTGTTTGACAAATAACTGAAAAATGTAGAATATTAAAATTTTAGTTTGGTATTAATATAACATTCAATCATTGACTCAAACAATATGAGTTTAATTTATTTACATTGGAGTTTTGATTTTCAGATTTGAGGTTAGACAACATTGCATTTAAAATGACTAATTCAATAGAAGTATTTAAATAATTATTTAAAAATTACCTTTGGCTATGTTTTCCTTTGTACATCCTTTAGGTTGCTGTGTTTTAGGATCAACAAAGTCATAATCAGGATGAGGACAAATATATTGCCCTATCCGTAGGTTGTTGCAATCAATTTCATATGTATAGCCTGCCCCATCATTTATAGGAATGCAGAAAATTAGTATAATAAAGTAATATAATTTTATTATTTTGGCCATTTCTACACATTTCACATTGGAATGACTCAATGTAATAAACAAAACCTTGCATGAAGAATGTTTATCATTTTGGTTTAAAAATAAATACTTTGCTGATTACATTTTGCAAAGACGATTACACATCACTTTTTAATTAATCAGTGTGTGAACATTTACTTTGCACTACGATAACTAATAAAATAATTAAATAATACCATTCACATTTTATTGAACTACAGTGACTCCGTGATAAAATGGTATGACAAATTGACAACATAGGTGGCCTAATCTCCATCTTCCGAATCTGAATGTTGGCTCTATCAAAAACTACTTTACCGTGCTCTATTTTAAAACTTTTCAGAGATGGCGCAAAGATCGTTGAAAAGTCAAATTCGAAAAAAAAATAATAATTTTTCTATATAATTTTTTAACAAAGTATCTTTATTTAAAAAATGCAGGATAATTATTATAAATTGGAAATGGAAAATGTTTACGTGTTCTTTTAATGTAAAGGCTAGAAATTGAAAAAAAGTAGTCATTTAATAATTTAGAAAGTTCCCATTTATTTATGTTTCCGTAGAAGATAAATTTAAGAATCATTTTCAAAAACATTTGATTATTTAAAAAAAGCAACTGAAACAAAGCAATTTCAACTTTAAACAAAGCAAACTTAGGTTTATGATATAGTCGTTCAACGAGAAAAATCTATGACTATTTTTATATTCTGTATAGAACTCAAACGCTTATTCTTTATTACTGTAAGTAGTCTCCTACAAAATGTTTATCTTTGATTCTACCGCGTTGATGAAATGTTTAGAAAGAAAAGTTTAAAAATCTGGAAGTTAACTAAAAGCGTTTGAATTCTTCAGAATCTTAAAATAATCGTAGTTTTTTCTTATTATTATGCAAATCATAAATCTCTCAAAATGAAATTAATGAGCAAATTAATTAGTACGCATAGTAAACATACAATGTTTTTATTAAGGTTTTCGTAAATATAATAGATATCCTATGATATATTAACGTTAAACTTATCAATTTGGACCATTTATAGCGATAATAATATTTCGGTAAATATATATTTGATGAAAATCTATTTCATAGCAAAGTAATATTTTTGTATTTTTCTAACTTCTCTTTGAAGCTTCACTAAGTTGTAGGACATCCTGACGGTACATTAAAACATTTCTGTGTAATATTTATATATATGAAGTAATTCAAATTAAAACGGTAAAAGCCAAATTTTACAACATTTTTAGTAACATTTGAGCAGGTGCTCTAAGCGTTGCTTTCTTATTTACAAGTTTAATTTTTTTTAATAATACCAAATCTATTAATGTGAATAATTATCGAGTTTCAATTTATTTGAATGAATTACTTGAGAACTGTCTAATAGACATTAATTCGCAAAAATATAAATCGAGCAACTTCTGAATTATTTGAATAGATGTGAAAACTACATAGTTTCAAAAATGTATTATTTGGTTTCATATCATTGTCCATTTAATAGAGAAAATTATTTAAACAAGAAAATTAATCGAGGTTATTCACATAAAATCTCATTTTTGTCAGTCCTAGTTGACTTTAAACAGCTCGACTTTTCGCAAGTATATATCGTCGCAAGGATCACGAAGAAGTAAAGAGTAAAGAGTAAAGCGAGGAAATTGCACGTACGACAGACCCTTACTATAGACTTAATAGCAGCGCGGGCAATTAAACACGGCAATGCATAAATACGCGTTATTAACTGTGTGTTCAAAGAACGTGCACGGGGCGATTAGGCTCTTTAGACTTTGTCGAGCTTCCAACGCCGTCTCTTTTCTTTTCTCTCTTTTTTCTTTTCTTTTTTTTTTGTCGACCCTTCTTCGTCGAGGACGTAATCTCCGCGCTTTTTTAGCTCTCTGCCCTTGTATCAATCTGCCGCGCGTACAATCTTTTACGCGGCTTTGAGTTTGCTGCAATTTGTGAGCATTAAAAATTTCGCTTTTCTGCACGAGAATTGAAAACTAAAAATGTTATATTTTCTAGGATAGATGGGTATTTAATATACAAAACCGTTTTACTTCTCGATGTATTCAAAGTGCATAATATTACAATTAAAAGCATCCAAGAGAACAACAAATTAAGTTTAATCGAGATTGTTCACTATAACTTTTGAATATCTTTTTATTGCAAGTTCGAGCTGCGTTTTAAGTTTAGCATTACAATTAAAAAGTAGAGATTTCGTTTTTCTTACAGTCGTCGGAACGAAAATTCAAAACGCATGAGCATTAGTATTGCTATTTGAGTACACTTCTGTTACGTTTAAAGACTATTCCTATTAATATGAATCCGTTACTAAATCGTTGAATATTTGCTGTTTTTGACTCTATAAATTGAAGATAAAAATAAAAAACAAATATATCGTAACAATAAGTACTGCAAAAAAAAATAAAGATGATTTATTATATTATCAGAGAAAATTTTACAAAATATACATGAAATTCTAATGTTTAACGCTAGGAGAATTCATTTTAGATATAAGAACCGTTTGACTCTTTTGATCGAGATAGAATTATAAATTCATCCATAAAACCAGGAAAAGTAATAAAACTAGATAAAATATAAAGCTATATTGTATAGATTCATGTTCTGGCACATTACTTAACACTGGAATTGAATTTATTCACTAAATAATAAGATAAGATAAATGTAAAGTTGCACACGGCACAAAGGAAAGCATATATCTACATGTATTTATGTTTATCGTATTTTGATATTTAATTAACTGTCACATAGATTTGTTATCGCATCCCTGTTTAGCAAATTCATTTTACTTAAAAAGGAACATGCGAAAATATTTGATGTATTAAATATCTTAAAAAAGTACTTCAATTAAATAATTTCTTTTGAAATAACGCCTCTAATATTTGACACCTTCCTAATGTTACAGGACTACTTCAAATACTATACAAAAGAATTTTTTATCAAAAATCTTAATAAAAAAATAATAATTAGACGGTTCAAAACTATATTACGTAAAGTAGAGTCATAACTAGTTTTAGTGATGTTGAATCCCAATTGTTAGAAAATATTTAGCGAACTGTTTTTGAAATCTTGTTTCTTGAAAAGGTATTTACTGTGGAAAGACGTACTTTATACTTTTAAAGAAAAAGAGGAGAAAAAAGTAGAGACAGTCCAAAACTCTCGTCTTTATATCGCAAAGAATGCCTGTGTAGTTCGGTCCACAGATACGACAGATACCTATCGTATATAACTTGCTCCTGGAACAAAATACCGCAGAGGCTAAAGCTGACTACAACCATTATTTGTTCAAGCGTAGTATCTGACCTTTACTTTACACGATTTATTACATTGTAGATTATTTTTTTCTCTAGTTCTTTAAAATCACTTTAAGCATTAAATAAGATGAATGTTATCAGCTACGTCCAAATTGTAATCATAAATTTGTTTGTTTCACGCTAAAAAATATATTTTTGTTTGATCCTCTTTGAGTCAAAAGACTAAATATTGCGTATTTTCTGCATTGCAAATACAGTAATGACTACAATGTGACAAATCACGGGAGGAAATGGATAAGAGAAAGAAGTATATTGCGTCAAAGAGAGAAGAGAATAGTGAGAGAGAGAGAGAGTGAGAGAGAGGGGAGAGGATCCAAAATACAGAGGATAGTCAACGAGAACAAGTGTTCTTAAGTTCGTGGCGGAGGATAGCAATGTTGGTCCTCTAGCTTTGTGTGCGGCACCGCGCGTGCTAGCGCACAGCGGCACTATGAAATCCGTTGGTTCCGTCGCTCGTCGTATCCCCATAGTGGTGGTGCACGTCTATTTATCCACCTAGCGGTATGATATTACACCCCGGGGCAGCAAACTCTCTCTCTCTCTCTCTTCGCATATATCCCCGCCAGTCTCCACTGCAGAGTGAGTGTCGCGATAGAGAAAGCCACGCCCACCAACCCAGTTCATTGGCCCACGCCGATATTACCGCGTGTTTCGCAAAGGGCCGAGGTTACGCGGCGACAGAACGAGAGAGGGGTTCCCAAGCGATAACGGCTCCGCTGCAGAGGGGCACAGCAACGATACAGAAAAGAGGACGACTATTGCGTTTGGACGCCGCCGTCACCGACAAAGACAGAGGTTAACGATGACGCCGTGTGAGAGAGGGTGCTGACGATTTACGAGACTTCATTTGCTCTATTCTTCTCCCCCTCCCTAGCCCCGTCTTACTCCGGTAAACCTACCAACGTCTGACTACACTTCTACCTACACTACTTGCGAGGGTTCAAGTGCTTTCGCGGTTTTTTTATCATTTCAAAGTTATATTGCAGATTGAGTGCTGAAAGAAAATTCCGAGAAATGTTGGGTATAGATTTGCAGAATAAAAGAAATGGGAAGAGTGGCGGCGAAAGAAGGAAAGGAGAGGAAGATTTAAGAAAGAGTAAGAGGGAGATTGATGTGGAAAGGGATCGAAGTTGTTATTCGCATTTCGCGGATAGGGCGCTCGACCCTTATTCGCGGGCTGATTGGGGTATCGAAGGATACAGAGCTTCCGAAAGCTCAACAGAGATTGGACTTCGTGTGCCGGCTAAGAAAAAAGCTGACATAGTGAAGCAAAACAATTGTTACTTTTTTTCTCTCGAAGAAATCTCCGTAGTACTCTTTTTCTTCAGACAGACAGACACACACACACACACATATATTATACGAGCAACATAAGTATTTTAAAATTTACCGTTTCTTGTTTTCGTGTTTGTGAAAAGTTTTGGTTTATTTTTCGGTACTTGAGATTTATTTATTTGCATTTTTTAATAGATTTCTTGCAACTATATAAATTAAGCTACTCAAATATTTTTTATAATAGCTCTATTCACTATCATCTATATGGTAGAAAAAAAATTGTAGTCCGCAAATTGAAGCATGATAATTTTAATAGATAAATATCTCTTATTTTAACAAAGTAAAGTATGTTTTTTAAATTAACAGTATATATGAAAAAAACTGTCATGCAAAATAAATAATTATAATACAATACATTAGAAATTTTTTTTGTTCAATAGAACCACGAACCATGTGATTTTAGTTGAAAAATTATATTCGACTATAATAAAGTTAACATTTACTTTGTTATACTACTGTTTAGTGATTGTCAAAACACACAACTGTATTATAAAATTCGATTCTGTAACTTGTACGTGAACCTGACATGATTTATAATTTTTGAGCATCACAAATGGAGCCTTTGAAAAATATCTTTATTTTGCATATTGAGAATAAGTAATATTGAT